CTGTCGCCCCACTGCCCCCGATGCTCCCTCTGGCTCCTCGGGCGCCTCTGGCCCCGCTGTCTCAGATAGCTCCGGGCGACGTGCAGCCACCTCCCCGGCTTCTCCACCCTCGTCGCCCACGCTGCCGCCGCCGCCCCTGCTGCGCCCCAGCAGCGCCATCAGGTATGATGCGTAGCCCCCGACCTCGCCAGCTGACAGCATGCTCAGCCCACGCTCACACACGATCTGCGTTTCAGCCTCTGCGGCCTCGGCGCCCGCAGGCGCCTTCTCCTGGCCTGCGTCGTCCCCGGGCTCACCCCCACCCTGGTGCTGTTTGCTGGGGCGCAGTACCCCTTGGACTGGCTCGCTGCGCCTCTGCTGGTCTCCGATTTGCGTGTCATCCTCCTGCTCTTCTGTTAGGCCGCCGTCCGCGCCCTTTCCTGCTCCAGAAGCATCCCCACGTGGCGCGCGCGCGAGCGCTGCCCCGGCGGCCTTGACGGCAGCGGAAGCCGCGCCGCCGCCGCCGCCAGCAGCCGCGCCGCCGCCGCCGCCAGCAGCCGCGGCGGCGGCGCCGAGGGCTTGTTCCCCCGCGCGCCGCGGGGGACCGCCGCCGCGCTGGCCCCTGTGGTGCTCGAGCGTGTGGCACGCGAAGGCTTGTCCTGTAGGCAGACGGGGGGTGAAGTGTTGAATGCGAGATTTCTTTGCGAGCATTTGGAGGGGGGGTTCCGATCCACAAGCTCTCCACCCAGGTGCGAGTTGTCCCCGGCTGGTCGAGCCCGCGTGGGCGGCGTGCTGCGGCTGTCTGGCCCAGGCGGCCTGCGGCCCCCGCTGATCCCGGGCACCTGGGCCCTGTTGCGTGTGGTGGCGGTCTGGTGCGCCGACCCCAGGCTGAGCGAGTGCTTCTCTCGCGCGTGCGCGGCCGGCCTGGCTCAATCGAACCACTGCGTGCACCCGCGCCTCACCGGCCGTGACGTCGCGGGTGGCCAGCACGACGCGCCGCGCGCCATGCGTCACCAAGGCCTGTGAGTGGTTTTGAGGTGGCTTGCTGGGCTAAGGATGCAATTCAGGCTGTATCGGCAGGAGGGCAGGCTGCAAACGTCATTGTGTGTGATGTGCGCACCTGGACCGCCGCCTGCGTGATCGGGCTCAGGCGGCCGCACACGACGAGGACCGTCTTGCCGTGCAGCCGCCCGAGTGTGGGGTCGGCGCCCACAACCAGGCTGGCCTGCCCTGCCAGCGCGCCGTACAGGGAGCGGCTGAGGGCGCCTGCGGCGGCCCTTGCAGCCCGCGCGGCGGCGGCGAGCGCCCCGCCTGTGGCAGGGCTGGCCGAGGGTGCTGCCTCTGGGCCCGCCGGGCGTATGGCCGTGTGGGTCACTGTGGTGTTGAGGCGCGGCCGCTCATCGACTGCAGATTTTCCTGGCGCGGCCGGCAATTCAGCCGCTGCTGGGCGGAAGGCGACGCGAACGAATGGCGTGGAGTCCTCGGATTCCTCGACAGTCAGTGTCAGCATGACGTGCGCCATGGCGGGCACGGCCAAAGGCTGGTGGCGGAGGTGGCGAGCACTGGAAATTTGAAAACTCTCTTCACGATCCAAACTGGCGAAGCTATAGAAATGGCACACGGCGGTTTGTTAGGGCGGTGGTTCTCTACTAGTGACGACGCACAACAAGGGCCACAACATGGCTCAGCACAAAAGATTTCAATATTGATGAGAATCCGATTGTATAATGTGTCGTTGAGGTTGCTTACGCTCTCGCAGTGATCCAGATAGACAACGAAGTTGGCGCGAACAGCGCCCTTGCCCGGAACTGCGGCAGGAGTGGGCTCAAGACATACCACGCACGCCTGCCATGAGTCCTTCTGGACCCCTTTCTTCTCAGGTGCGCCCCGCAGATCTTGGGTCTGTTTTGGTGCCTGCATGTACCCAGTGCGCATACTACGTACGAGGAGCGTTGGGCTGTTACTTTTTTATTGCCTTATATGCGCCTGGTGAAGCCCTCACCTCCATCTCCGTGGTCGTGTCTTTGGCTTCGGACTCCCTTCAGCAGGGTGCTCGCGACGAAGGGAGGCGAGACCAGCAAGTCCAGCATAAGACGACTATGCAAGTCAAGCTCAAGCCCCAGGCGATCGGTGGCGCCAAGGCACAGGCCGGCGAACCCCTGCCGGGCCGGGGGTTGAGCGCCAAGCCGTCAGCACACCCGGTGCCTCAGAAGCAGGCCCCGCAGCAGTCGCAGCCACCCCCGCAGCAGCAGCAGGGTCAGCTTCAAGGGGAGCCCGGGGCGCGGGCCCAGGCTTCTCGTGCTGCGGGCATCAGCGCCAGCAATAGCGGTGGCGGCGCGGGGTCCGGCGGCGGCGGCGGCGGCGTTGCCTCAAACAAGGCGGAGCCAGTGCCCGCCAGCCGCATGGTGGTGAAGCGCGCGGACGGCAAGCTTGTGTACGTCTCGGCCAGCGAAACGCTTGTTCACAGCGGCACTGCCAATGGGTTGGCCGCCGGAGCCCACGCGGCTGCCGCGGGGCCCCAAGCGCACCATCCAGACACCAAGCACCAGCAGTCCGGGCGGCGGTCGGACGGCGGCGCTGCGCAGGTGCAGTCCCAGCTGCAGGCGCAGCCGCGAGCGTCGCAGACGCAAGCACAAGCGCAGGCGCAGCAGCAGCAGCAGCAGCAGCAGCAGCAAAGGGATGACAAGCAGAAAGGGCAGCAGCAGCAGCAGCAGCAGCAGCAGCAGCAGCAGCAGCAGCAGCAGCAGCAGCAGCGTGTTAGTGCCACAAATGCTGAGCCCACTGCGGCTTCGGCCGTGAGCGGCAGCGACAGCAAAGTGCCAAAGCAGCAGCCGGCTTCGCGGCAGCCGCAGCAGCAGTCGCAGCAGCAGTCGCAGCAGCAGTCGCAGCAGCAGCAGCAGCAGCAGCAGCAGCAGCAGCAGCAGCAGCAGCAGCAGCAGCAGCAGAATAAGAACCTCAGGCGGCAGGAGCAGGAGCAGGAGGCGCGTAAGCCGCGGCCGGCCGGCAGCATGCAGGCGGGAGGCCACGTGCCCGTTGCGCCCGCGCCGTCCGGGCCGCCGCCCAACCCAAGCAGCATGCTGACCGCCAAGGCCAGCGGGTCTCTGTCCCCACTCCTGCTGCCATCCAGCCAGGCGGTCAACATGGCTGCGCTCAGCGGCTCGACGCACGAGCCTACCAGCGGGGCCGCAACCCTTGCAGGCCTCAAGGCCCAACCCGCCGGGGGCACCCCCCTGCCGCTGGTGCCGCCGTCGCTGGTGCCGCCTCAGGTGGCCGTCCGCAACACGACCGCGCACACACTCGCGCTCGGCGCCGCCGCGGCGCACGCCATCGCCGAGGCGCCCGCGCCGACAGTGCTGAGCAAGCTCGCCCTGGCACTCGCGGCCAACGGCCCGAGCGCCGCCGCCGCAGGCGCGGCCGCCGGCCTGCAGTCGGCGTTGTCTGGCGGCCCCCTCCGCTCGCTGTCAGCGGACGCGCCGCCCTTCAACTTCAAGCTCGGCGGCGCCCCGCCCTCTGGCAGCGTGGCAGTCCCACGCCGGAGCTCGGGCGGCGGCGGCGGCAGCGGCGTGGGGGGCCCGGCTGCATCTCCGCCGGGCAGCTCGCCTGCGTTCAGCCATCGGGTGATTGAGGAGCAGATGCTGATGCGAGCTGCGGCAGCCGCAACCTCAAATGCCAGCAACAGCAGCGGCGGGGGGCCCCC